CCGTGATATACACATGTATTTGATTGGCTGTTTAATTACGGTACCATTCGGATATATTGCCATTCAAAGGACCAACACATTTTTTTTTAATTTGGATAAAAAGTCCGACAATTTTCAACCACGTTTGCTATAATTTTACCGAATCGGATCTTTTTTCCGTATAGTCGAAATGCATGGACGAAGGATAAAAAACTGTATGCTGATCAATCAAAACATCATTGCGATTGTGTATTTAATTTATGGAGACATGTTTTTTTTCTGTTTTTCCTTATCTGTGAATTACCCGTTTGCTTTGTACACAAGCATGTGTATTCTGAAAGCTCAGGATGTATTTAGTTTGGGCGCTCTTCCATGTAAAACTGCATGTACTTATAAGCATGTATCCGTAAAATCGTGTATTGGGATATTCTGTTTATTCGACGAAATAAAAGAAATGCATAAGTAAATCATTCTGTACAATACAATTATAAGTTTGGTAGCAAATAATGCAAACTCAGAAGTGATTAATTTAATTTTCGATTTTCCCGAGAATTGAAAACGTCACCCCCACTTACAATTATTATGCATGTGTACATGCAGTTTAAAACATGAGACAGAAAAATAAATTGTTGCAAACCTAGTGGTTAAGTCGGCAATTAAAATGCATAAAACTTAAAATGAATAAATACACAGGCGGATAAGATAATGATAAAAAGTAAGCGTGAGATAGAGTGAAATAAAATAATATTGAAGATTTGAAATGATTTTAAACACAATTTTCTATTAATCGCTATGAGTACACATTGCTTTTTAACACCGATCGCTAATCTCTGCGGCCACGTGTGAACGACGAGTGGGTTACAGATTTTGAAGTAAAACACAGAGACAGAACGGAATGTAAACTGTCTGTTGTAAGAAGGCGTAAATTATTGTATGTTTAAAAGTATTATTTTATGTATATAGTTTATTTAATATTAAATGAAAAATTAAATGAAGAAACAAGAGACTGATAGTAAAAATTATACTTTACACAAGTACATGTCTTAATACTTAATATTTCCATCACTAATTGCAATTATTTGCCGTAGCACCTTTTCAATTACAATTGAAATAGAATACAATAACACGGGATAGAGAAATAAATTGTTTGTTTTTTTTTAATTGTATTGTTGTGTCGACAGTGACCAGGTCGGTGAAAGCGATTAAAATTCGTAATGATTTTATGCACTAGTGTTTGGAATTAAGATTAAATCAAAGATGAGATTGTTATCTTAAAGATTCGATATAAATTAAAAAAAACATAATGTTTCATTAATCGTTGTTTCTACGCAATGGATTTGTCATCTCAGATGTTTGTTTTGTTTACATGGCTTATGACCGCAGGTGGCTGGTACACTGGTGACCTCGGCAACGTGGGATCGCGGGTTGTGTTACATAACTATAAACATCGAGGTGAACATGGAGAAATGCGTACTGTTAATGATCATTAATTATTCGATGCTTAAAGTTTAATATTACTTATATAGATATATAGATACATTTAATTCCTTCCTTTATTTGAAGACGTGTTCCCTTTAAATCTAAATTAAAAAAGAAAAGAAAGTTGTAAAAAATAATTTATGAGTGAACCACAGAACACGTTTAAAACCTTATTTAGAAGAAAATTAGCATTAAATACAGTAGGGTATATAATTTATTGCAAGCTTGTTAAAGTTATACAAATGAAGAGTTCTGATTTACTTGCCGAATGAAAACGCTTACCTGTTTACGGGACCTGCTTTTTACCTACATATTACGACATATTACACAATACTCGAACAAAACAACATTTGTATGAGATCAATAAGGTGTTAAAGAACAACTTTAATTCCGAAAGCCATATCGAAATATTTATCGTTTTTGAGTTATAAAGCGAAAACTTTCAAGGGCTCTAGATCCCTAATTTTAGGGGCCAGCCCCTTTTAAATGATATCAAATGAAAGCTCTTGCTATTATGCACAACTTTTATTCTACATGTTTTAACAAAATATTTTTAGTTTTAAAGATATAAAGGAAAATATGTCAAAATTTTTGCTCTTTTCCGCGTTCTAACTTTTGACCCCTCTCTAGCGCCATATTTAATGCAAAAATCAAAAAACAAAAACCGATGTGCACAACTTCAATGCTTCTTCTTTTCAATTTCAAAAGGTTTTGGGCTCCAATTATTACAGTCTCAGAGCCTTTGTCTGGAAACCAGAGGCATAAAAATTTCAATCAAAGGGGAATAACTCGTGAACAGAAGGTAATTTCCGAATTGTATTACGGTATTCTGACAGTGTTTTGCAAAGTCTAAAAGCTCTGAAAATTTGAACAAAATCCGTTCAGAAATGAGGAAGATATGAAGCTTCAAAGTTGGCGTCTAGGAAAAAAAAAAGAATAATAAGAATAATCTTAACCATCAGAATCAGTAGAAGGTCTTCCGTTGGAAACGGAAGACCTTAATAATCTTAACCATCAGAATCAGTAGAAGGTCTTCCGCCTGGAGCGGAAGACCTTAATAAAATACAGTCAATTCTTGAAATATTGCCATTTGATTCATGCCATCCTCACAATAATGCCATGATTTTTCTGGAACGTTTTTCCTGCTTTATAAAATTCTCTTTATAATGCCAAATTCACATACGCCATCCGCCACCCTGTTTTCACAATAAACGTCCATTCCAAAGTGTCAGTTATCTCCATATACCACCACAGGTGCATGTAGTCAGTGAAGCGTTTAATTTGGTTGTTGCTATCCAGATCACCATTGTAAAAACAGACAAGGTAATTAGAGAATTAAATAAACAATAATTTTTATTAAACATTAACAGTATTAAAAATTTGCTTTCTGTTTAATAAAAATGATATCGTTATGGCTTCGCCAAGCAGTTGTTCTTAAAGTTCACCAATAACTATATTGGTTTGACAATCCCTACTTCAAACGATGCAAAGTTTGCTTTAAAATAGTGATACAGTATTAATTGTGAAAGTTTCAGCAACGACAATGCCTTAAACAAATGTATTTACAGGAATTCCTATTACATTTTATTGGCAATAGAACAGGAAAATCCTCACTGCATTTTTTAAAAACAAAATTATAATACATAAAAACCTATTTAAAGCATTTTCTTATTTTGAAATGTGTTTTTATGTTATGATAAATACTACTAAGAAAATAAACGCTAAATGTTTTATTTCCAAGAATGGTAACTCTACTTCTTGTTTCCCCAAAGATGGGAAATTCAATTCATCCCAAATTTGTTACACCACATTGAATTCTAAATTACAAAAAGGTGGTGGTTAATTGAGAATTTACTGTAGATGTAATGTAAGAAGTCGGAGACATATATGTCTCTGAAGAAGTCAAATAATTTTAAAGATTGGACCGGTTTACAGTTCAATAACAAAATTGTTGGAATGCCCCCCCCCCCCCCCCATTTGATTTTTTTAGCTCACCCAATTAAGCCAAAGGCTCAGATGAGCTGATTTAATTTTTTACCTGTCAGTGGCAGATTCAGGGGGGTTTGGGGGGGTTTCCGTTGGGGGGGTTCAGGCCCCCCCCCCCCGCCCGATAAAAAAAAAAAATTACGTGTCATTTTAACGATATATTGCATAAATGCGACTCTTTCCAAGCCCACTGTTTTACACAAAGAGGTGAAATATATAGCCACCATGCGAAATCCCTTTCCGCTTGAGCGCACACAATATACACACAGGTAATCAACAGTACTGTTCAGAGATCATGATGGTCCATGCAGCTAGTGATGACACAACATCATACACTAACAACCAAAACTGCATTTAGTTATTACGGTTTTGTTTTGGTATTGCTAAAGTAATATTGTTTCCAGAATTTTCTTCTTTTTTCGATAATTGAATGTTACTTCATTGAAGTACGTGAATAAACTGTGATTATTATTTAATAGAAAAAAAAAATTAATACATCAGGGACGTATACTAGTTGTTTACGTTGTGCCTGTATCAAAAAGCACATTGAAAGTATTCCTTTTGTAGATGGAAGTTACAATGCAATTTTAAAAAGCAAAAGATCTGCATTTTTTTTAAAAAAAGAATTACAGTTCCAAATGATGTTGAATAAAACCCAACTAACGGTTACAACTTTGTATAATGAATTGTGGTAAAACTGATATGTATAAAGTAGAGGTCCTGTCAAAACAAGAATTGGCCACTTTTTTATTGATTTTCTTTCCAAGACTTTTTTTCCCAAACATTGGGCAGGCAAGTGGGTAAAAAAAAAATTAAAGAGTGCATTTATGTTAGAAATTATAATTACCCCCCCTCCCCTCAATGAATAAGCAATAATTCCAATTATTTCCCAAAATAATTTATATTTATTCTTCAATATGAAATATCATTATTTGTTTACATTGCAAATTATATGAACAGTATAGTCAAGTAGTTGAAAAGAGTAATTTAGGGTTTCTACACAGAATTCGAATTTTCTAAGTGTTGGAAAATTGCACATCATGCAGTTGTATTTTGGTAGACAAAGCTTCACATGCGACAGTGTGTTGGATGTGCATTTTAAAATGAAGAATTGGATATTATATAGCAAATGGCGATATTTCAAATTTTATCAGATTTTACATTTAATTTTTTCTTTAGAAAAGTCTCATTTTTCAAGTCAACATGGAAGTTAAAAATAATCCCAAACTTTTAATTTTTTGTTCAATTTCTTGAAAATTTGGGTAGGTCGGTCTTGAAAAACAACTAGAAAAAAAGTGGCCAAAAACTAACTAATTCAATCTAAAATGCTGGAAAATGCACCATTTGGAGCCATTTTTAAAGAAAATTTCTCAGGGGAGGCCCCCCTAACCCCCACCTATGGGAGGGGGATACCCCCTCCCATGACCTCCCTCTTCGGCCCTACGGGCCTCAAACCCCCCCTACATGGACTTCTGGATCCGCCACTGCTGTATAAGCTAGGGTTTATCATAATTTTGTATTTTGGGAATCTGCACTGAAGTGGATAAAACTTTCAGGGTCCAGATGGTTTTCCTGGAGAAGTTGAGAGGGTTGAACCTAAAGGTGAGCCTGGGGATTTGGAAGTCCCCTCCACTCTAAAAATGAAGGGGAAGCCTGGCGAGCAGGGACCAAGGGGACCAGTTGGCAGAGCAGGATCACCAGGACCTTGTGGCCCCCGTGGACCCCCAGGTTTCTGTGGGATACTTCGAGAAAGGGTAAGAGTCACTAATTCAAGTAAGAGAAAAATCAAATATCGTTTCATAGTCTGTTAGCTTTTGAGAAGTAGGACTTAAATGATGAGACTTTGTTGTCTGACAATTTCTTCCAAGTTCTTCTTGCTTTCCATTTTTTCAACTGTATGGATCTAGAATGATATGGAGAAACATGTATAGATAATGCACAGAATAAATGTATGCATTGGGAAATAGTACAATGTGGATAGTATTAATAAGTTTTGCATTTACTGACACCTTTCTCTTCTAGTTAAAAGAAATCATAAAGTGGTATACAACCATTTTAGATACATCGTAATTGACAATCTGTTCGGCTTTGTTTAAAAAGATGTAATTTTTAAAATAAATGATGAATGGATGATATAATGTCAATAGTTCTATCAATAGTAGCCCGAAAATTTACAGGAAATCGCTTATTTTTAAAAAGATACTAAAAAGATAACAAAGCTACTTAATCTATGCTATGTCTAGTGTATTCTGTCCAGTAAATCACGAAATTGAGATCATGTCATCATGAATGAGGATAAAGATAGAATAAAGAGATGGCATTATGGAAAGAAATTTTATGGTTTGAATTTATAAATATTTTTGATATTTCCAGGGTATTTTTGGAGACCCAGGACTAGAGGGCTTGGATGGTTTGCCTGGACTACAAGGGGAAGATGGCCTGCCTGGTGAATTTGGAGATTCCATTCCTGGAGAAGTTGGACGCTCTGGACCTAAGGGATTTCCTGGACTGGATGGTTATGAGGGGACCCCTGGATTAAAAGGTAGAGCCTTTTTACTGAGGCAGTATATAGAATAAGTAAGGAGTGAAAGCAAGTCATTTTGTTTTTAAATTCTATAAGATGGTATCCCCCTCTCCAAAAAAGAAAGAAAGAAACAAAACATACATAAACAAATACACTTTCTAATGCTCACATTTGGAAAGTTGCATGTTGCTTCTTGCCATTAGTTTCGTATTTTAATATACAAGTGACAGGAATTGTTTTTTAAAAGATTTTTTTTTTTTTAGCTCACCTGAGCTGAAAGCTCAAGTGAGCTTTTCTGATCACCGTTGTCCGTCGTCTGTCCGTCCGTCTGTCCATCCACTTGTAAACTTTTCACATTTTCAACTTCTTCTCAAGAACCACTGGGCCAATTTTAATCAAACTTCAAAAACTTAAAAAGCATCCTTGGGTGAAGGGGAGTTTAGATTCTTAAAATGAAGGGCCAAGTCCCCTTCAAAGGGGAGATAATCAAGAAAATGCAAAAATTGGGTGGGGTCATTAAAAAATCTTCTTCTCAAGAACCACTGGGCCAGAAAAGCTGAAACTTATGTGGAAACATCCTGGGATAGTGTAGATTCTAAATTGTTCAAATCATGACCCCCGGGGGTAGGGCGGAGCCACAATAGTGAATCCAATTTTTACATAGAAATATGTAGTAAAAATCTTTAAAAATCTTTTTCTCAAGAACCACTGGGCCAGAAAAGCTGAAACTTATGTGGAAGCATTCTGGGGTAGTGAAGATTCTAAATTGTTCAAATCATGACCCCCGGGGGTAGGGCAGGGCCATATTAGGGAATCCAAGTTTTACATTGAAATATTTAGAAAAAAATCTTGAAAAATCTTCTCAAGAACCACTGGGCCAGAAAGGCTGAAGTTTATCTGTTGCCTGATAATCCAATAAGCACACACTGAAAAGTACTTTTGATCAATCTTATTTTATTCTGTCTTTTCCTTATTCGTTTAGGAAATGTTGCAATTCGAATTGATATTTTGATTTTTTTTATAGAAGATAAGAAAATGCAATATATGTATTAAAGTGGTTTCTGGAGAGAAAAAATTGGAGTCAGTTGGTCAAAGTTTGCCACTTAAACCAAACTTGTCACAAAGTGTCCTTGGGTGAGTGGGATTCATGTTTATTTAAATGAGACTTACAATGAGACTTACAGTTAAACATTTTGTGAAAAGGGTTACAGCTTAATGTTTTTGAACAGATCTTATTCCAAAGTAACTAAGCCCTATGGTGACTAAACATGTATGGATGATGCATCTAGGGATGCACACTACTAGGCTTGCTTCTGAAGCTGGATCTGACCTACATTTTTTGGATGAATAAAGTTTTTAGCTCACCTGAGCCAAAGGCTCAAGTGAGCTTTTCTGATCACTTTTTGTCCGGCGTCTGTCTGTCTGTCCGTCCAGCTGTCTGTCTGTATGTAAACTTTTAACATTTTCTACTTCTTCTCAAGAACCACTGGGCCAATTTCAACCAAACTTGCCACAAAGTATCCTTGGGTTAAGGGGATTCAAGTTTCTTCAAATGGAGATAATAAAAAATTAATGAAAAATTAATAACATCTTTTAAAAATCTTCTTCTCAAGAACCACAGAGTCAGGAAACTCATGTGGAAGCATCCTCAGGTAGTGTAGATTCAAGTTTGTTCAAATCATGACCCCCGGGGGTAAGGCAGGGCCACAATGGAGGATCAAAGTTTTACATAGAAATATATAGGAAAAACCTTTAAAAATCTTCTTCTCAAGAACAGCAAAGCCATGAGTCATATTTATATGGAAACATCCTCAGGTAGTGTAGATTCAAGTTTGTTCAAATCATGACCCCTGGGGGTAGGGCAGGCCACAATGGACTATCAAAGTTTTACATAGAAATATATAGGAAAAATCTTTAAAAATCTTCTTCTCAAGAACAGCAAAGCCATGATGAGTCATATTTATATGGAAGCATCCTCAGGTAGTGTAGATTCAAATTTATTCAAATTATGACCCCTGGGGGTAGAGTGGGGCCACAATAGAGGATCAAAGTTTTACATAGAAATATATAGGAAAAATTTTAAAAATCTTCTTCTCAAGAACAGCAATGCCATGATGAATCATATTTATAAGGAAACATCCTCAGGAAGTGTAGATTCAAGTTTGTTCAAATCATGACCCCTGGCAGTAGTGTAGGGCCACAATAGACTATCAAAGTTTTACATAGAAATATATAGGAAAAATCTTTAAAAATCTTCTTCTCAGGAACAGCAAAGCCCTGATTGGTCATATTTATATGGAAGCATCCTCAAGTAGTGTAGATTCAAATTTATTCAAATCATGACCCTCTGGGGTAGGGTTGGGCCACAATGGAGGATCAACTTTTTACATAGAAATATATAGGAAAAATTTTTAAAATCTTCTTCTCAGGAACAGCAAAGCCATGATGAGTCATATTTATATGGAAGCATCCTCAGGTAGTGTAGATTCTATTTTGTTCAAATCATGACCCCTGGGGAAAGGGTGGGGCCACAATGGAGGATCAAAGTCTTAAATAGAAATATATAGGAAAATATCTTCTTCTCAAGAAATGAAAATCATGTTTAGTCATTTTGATATGGAAGCATCCTCAGGTAGTGTAAATTCAATTTTGTTCAAATGATGACCCCCGGGGTAGGGTGGGGCCCAATAGGGGATTGAAAGTTTTACAAAAAAACATGTACATATAGAAAAAATATCTCTTCTCAAGAACAGTAAAGCTGTGTTTAGTCATATTGATTTAGAAGCATCCTCAGGTAGTGTAGATTCAAGTTTGTTCAAATGTTGACCCCTGGGATAGGGAGGAGCCACAATGGGGGGTCAAATTTTTACAAAGGAATATATGAGAAAATTTTTTTAAAATCTTCTGAAGTACAACAAAGCCATTTGTTATATTGACATGGAAGCATCATCAAGTAGTTTAAAAGTCAAGCTCCCCCCCCCTTCCCGGTAATCTTTTCAATACTGAACTGATTTGTGCTTTTGCCTAGCCAATGTGCTCAGGTGAGCGATGTGGCCCATGGGCCTCCTGTTTTTTAATCCCCAGCAATTGAAGTTTTGGGGGTTATAAAGGAAACACCTAGTCAACAACTATTCCATAATTCTAAAAGAATATTCATGACCAGAGGATGTGTCATTTTTTAAACCAAGGTCTTTTTAGCAAGTTCAAGGTTGAGGGGGGGGGGGTACTATTTTATGAGCTTGTTCATTGTACCTCTAGTTGGAGCAAGTTTCATTCCCAGTAATTGAATTAAGCCCTTTGATAAGCAAGCTATCATGGGTGATGCATTGATACATCTAAGGAGGCACACTACCAGACTTGCTTCTGATGCTGGATTTGTCCTACATTTTCTGGATAGTTGACCAGATTATAGTTTTTCAGGCAGGTCCATTCCCAATGAACTATAAATCCTACCCATACCAAACTTGCAAATTAAGATTGATGTATCTTCTAGGGATGAACACTACCAGAACATTTATTTGGTGTGAGGTGAGGCTTTGCCTTATACTGGTAGATAACAGTGTCAAGGTGAGCTTTGTAAAGTAAGATGCTTAGAATAGCAAATCCCTCTTTGTTGCATGTTTAAATGAACAGCTTTCAAATTACAAAATTCAAGGACAGCATGCATGTTTTCCTATCTTTTTGTCCCCCGCTTTCACTGAAAGTGGGGGATATTAATTTGGGTCTAGCTGTCCGTCCGTCCGTCCAGCTGTTTTTCTGTCTGTCTGTGACACTTTCGTTTCTGCGCAATATCTCGAGAATCTTTTGAGCTTTCGCAATGAAATTTTGCATAGCAACCCCCTATGGCCTAAAGAAGAACCCTATTGATTTTGAGGTCAAAATATCAAAGGTCAAGGTCATAAATTCTGTCTGTTTTAACACTTTCGTTTCCGCTCGATATCTCGAGAATCCTTTGAGCTTTTGCAATGAAATTTTACATAACAACTCCCTGTGGCCTAAGGAAGACTCCTATTGATTTTGAGGTCAAAAGGTCAAAGTTCAAGGTCATAAATTCATACATTTTGTTTGTGTGTAACACTTTCATTTCCCGGCGATATCTCAAGAAGCTTTTGAGCTTTTGCAATGAAATTTTATACCTTAACTCCCTAAAGCCTCTCTTGCTCCTCTCAAAGTGTCCCACCCCGTTTTTAAAATTTTTTATTTATTGTATTAAAAGTTCTTGGCACTATTTTTAGCACAGGGGCATGTGGAGAGTTATTACATATAATACAGGTTGTTGGCGGACTTTATATTCTAATTGCGTCTATAAGAACTGGTTAGTAAAGGCTAAATTAGACACCATGTATTGTGTAAAATTTTGACAATATCGAATTTGAATATTGATAAACATTATATGTGACCTAATGTTTGCATTTAATTTCTTGTATAATCAAGTGGCATCCGTGGTCTAAGGGTATGATTCTTGCTTAGCAAGTGAGAGGTACCGGGGTCAAATCACGGACGATCCTTTTTTTTTTTTGAATTTTTTTTTTTTTGGATTTACTGAATGATAGTATTCAACCTGTGAAATGAAAAAGTTATGACGTCTGGCATGTACAACTCATAAAATCATTATTACAGTGTGATAAATATTCTATATAAAAAGAATCTTCTATACACATAATAAAGAATAAGCAATCAAATCTTTATATCCATATTAGCATTTTCTATTTCAATATACATGTATACATTTAATAATTCTACAAATCCAGGGGGGGGGGTGCCCCCCCTCCCCCCAAACTGCGCATGCTCTTCTTTTTTCCCTAAGCGGGGGACACAATTTCTCAGAATTAGATTGTGTTGTATTGTTTTCATCACAAAAGAGTTTGTTTCATTTTGAAACTTTTCATGACAAATTACATTTGATGATTTTATCGTGAGTTAGAAAAAGAATTAAAACATACAGTACCATATCTTGAGCATATTTTATTTTATGAGACATCTTTTGAATATTATTTCTTATTTATCAATTTCTAAAAAGAAAATGGTATTTTTATTAAATGAAGTAAGGGAG